CTGCTACAAAATGTTTTCCTTATTAAATAACTCTTGCATAGGTAGATGGGAAAATAAATCAATAAATTAAGACTAAGAACTTTAGACAAAAATGAGAACTTCCACTCCCATCCTCATCCCCAAAGTAGCACATGTTCTCAATGCTCATCAAGTTGCCATTCTTCAGGGGATTAATTACAGGACAGTTCTGAAATGAGAACTATCTTTGCCAAAGCTCATTTACAAATCACCTTTAGGGATGTTTTATTCTTCCCATGTCAGTGAAGAATATAGCAAAAGCTAATGGAAAAAACCTGACTGCATATAGCTTTAAATTATACCTTATAGAGTATGTGAACATCCCTGAACCCATCTTACCAATAAAGATAGGCTAACTTCCCTCTGGTAGCTTTGTTCATAATTGCCTAAACTTGGAAGTAGCAAAGATATCCCTTAGTAGGTAAATGGGTCAATACATTGTGGTTCATTTAGACAGTTGACTATTATTCAGAACTGAAAATAAATAAGCCATCAAGCCATGAAAAAACACGCAGGTGCTTAAAGACACCAATCTGAAAAGACTACATAGTTTATGATTCTACAACATTCTGGAAAAGGCAAAACTAGAGACAGTAAAAAGATCAGAGTTGTCAGGGGCTAAGCAGGAGCGAGAGTGAACAGGAGCAGTACAGAGAATTTTTAGGGCAGTGAATTACTCTGTATGATACTGTAATGGTAGATACGTATCAATGTACATTTGTCTAAACCCATAGAATATACAACACCAAGAGTTAACCCTAATGTGAACTATGGCCAATGGGTGATAATGATGTGTCAATGTGGGTTCATCAACTGTAATAAATGTACCACTCTGCTGGGGGATGTTGAAAATGTCAGAGACTATGAATACATAGGGGGAGGGAGTATCTTAATCTGCTCAGTTTTGCTGCGAACCTAAAACTGCTCTAAAAAATAAAGTCTATTTTAAAAAAAATACTCTGGGCTGGAGAAAGGAAGAGAAGAAAACGATAGACATTCTAAGGTCTCCCTGAAAGATGGCCCCTGAAAGATCATCCCTAGGGGAAATAACCTCTAGAGAATTTCAGAATCAGAGAAAATATGTCTAGTTCTTTTTTTTTTTTTTTTTTTTAATAAAGACGGGGTTTCACCATGTTGGTCAGGCTGGTCCTGAACTCCCGACCTCAGGTGAGTCGCCCGCCCGTCTTGGCCTCCAAAGTGCTTGGATTACAGGCGTGAGCCACCACGCCCGGTCTAGTTCTTGCTCCCATTGGAGCCCAGGAAGGCAACAAGGTTCCTTCCATTTTGGGAGAAAAGCACATTATGATTATTCAAAGATGTCTGAGCCCTGCTGGTTCCCTGTAGCCACAGAATGATACAAGAGGGCACTTTTCTTACATCCCTTAGAGACAACCAAAAGTCCTAAAGTCGTCTTGCCAGCCCACAAAAAGGACTGATATCACCAGACAAAAGTGAGATGACATGTGTCTCAGATGTCTTAAGTGGATACAATATTACTGAGAATATGGACAGGTGATGACAAAGGACCAGCTGTCACAGCCCTCTGAAGCCTGTGTTCTACATACAACTGCAAGAAGATTTATGTGGGGAGAAACTATGAATGGATCTAAAAATCTCAACTGGACTAAGAATACCTTGAGTTAATAGAGAAAAGTAAAGATAGAATATTAATATTTGCCTCATTTGGCTGGTAGAAAGATAAAAATATGTAAATGTGGGGAAAAAATTCGTGTTTGAAATGGATTTGTCAAAGGCTACTTTAGTTTTTCTAAAAGTAATGTTTCCATTAAACGAAGAATTCACACAATGTTTGGAGAGAAAATTTAATTATACAAGACTGTTAAGTTCCTGTTTTTTTTACAGTTCAGAATGCCATTTTGAAATAAATGTATTTTACAAATTCTGTGGTTAAAATATTCCAAGTTTTGTGATTAAGCCTCAAATTTAGAAGCATTATAGTCAATGAGCTTCGTAGAAAGTTCATTTCTTTTTTTCATTGAATTTTGGAAATATTTGAGGAAAATATGTAACCATAACAATCAAATGTAGCACATTTAGAGCTACAGTCCTCTGTCAGGGCTTGCCTGGACTTGTTAGGCTTCAATCTCAACTTATTTCATTGTTCTTTTTGACTCATAGGAATGTAAACATTCTCTAACCTTCTAGTCCTTACCTTGAAAATAACACAGGATTTACATATTCCAAGTAGTTCTGCAACCAAATCAACTCTCTTCTCTTTGCATAAGGCTTATTGTCACTATAACTTATAGCCAAGGCATCAAAGTTTAAAGTCTATATTTTATCATTTGATTTGTACAAAGCAGTTAATACTAGCACAAAATAAATCTTAACAAATTTTGAGTCATTATTATTATCATTGCTTCAATTATATCATGCCTTTTAGTGAATTTTGAGGGGAGAAAAGGCAATAAGAAAATGAAAAAATTTACTATTAAAATATCTGTTTATTACTAGTTGATTAGTCTACAATTTGTTCCCTGTAATATGAAGTATTTGGAATAGAATATCTTAAGGCTTATTCAGGTATAGCTGTTTCAAGATTATATAATTTGACTATCAGATGATTTCAGTCATAATCATAAATACAATCAAATTAGGGTGAAAATGAAAGACTTTTTACTTTTGGCATCCAGAGGAATACAAAAAATAAAGTTGGCTATAGAAATAACTAGTCAGAAAAATTTCTATGACTATGGAAGCAAATCTTTTTAGCCCTTATGTAAATTTAATTTCTTTCTGGCTTTCCTCTAATAATGGAAAATTTATATGCATTTGCAAATAGAATATTGGTACGCTTCATTGACATTTAATGAGTTCTAATATGGTCACACTGTGCACTTCTACAATCATTTCTGCCTCTACGAGATACTAATTGGATCTTTTCCAAAATACATTAGGCCATTTAGGATGTTTGTCGTCTTAAAATGTTACATTTGCCAATGATGTCCAAAAATTTACTTCGGCGTTTGCTTCTGATTACAGTCGTTAAATGTACTTTAACATTTTAACTTTTCAGTAAATGAGAAGGTCCTTGTTTTGCTATAAAATTTTCCAATTGCAAATCCCTTCACAATGTTTTAAAAAAAACCAAAATCTTGAGTATAAATAAATCCATTTATAATTTCTTTCTTATCCTAAGCAAAATAAAACTCAGGGGGCTCTACAAATCATGCTGTGACTCTGAGGAGACAAACATATGAGAAGCAGAGTTGGGGAATTGAGGTGAAAAATAATTCTAAACATTTAGAAACAGCTACTTTTTAATATCTCAAGAGATTGTCATTTTGATATATTATACAAATGTATTTTCTGAAGCAACAGAATCTGAGTACCAAAGTCATACTGCCTGGGGCTGAATTCTGTTTTCACCACTTTTTATACATACAATAAAAGCTCTCTGATCAAAATACATTTTTCTTTTTAGGATTTTGCCATGTTTTGATACATAAGCAGACACCAAACTATAAATAGCAGGATGCAAATTTTGTTTCAAAATATATATGTAGTCTTACATATATAGACTGTAAATATGTACACTAATCTCTATGATTATTATTTGGCTAGCTGACAAGGGCTAGACACAATCATAGTTTTATCCTTATTACCATATTCACAAGTTTTAGTCACATCCACTAATTGAATAGTTTCAGCTATTAAGGCTGTAACTATTGATCCCTAAATCAGTCAATCAATATTTGCCTTCATCTACATATATGATAAGACCAGCATTTTAAAAAGTGAGGATGACTGTCATGAGAATGTTGGAGTCTTACTTTCCTACAGTCAGAACCAGAACTCTCTCCATTGGGAAATGTCACCATAGAAGATCAGTTGGCCCCAAAACTATAGCAAAGATGAATTTGGTCTCCATTATCCCCACTACAGTTCCTTCCTGGTTCCTCTCTTAAATTTCTCTCCTTAAGACTTATCTGACATATATTCTAAAGATCAACTAGATTGCCCCATTATTTTAATGCCTACCTGCTTCCTCCTTTGTCTATTTATGCCAATATTTTAAAAGGGCATTTCAGTCATTGCGAGAGAGATGCATATTCTTCAAACACAGAGGTTTAGATTTGTAATAAAGTTTAGAGGACAATTTTCTTCCGTCATCACTATACAGGAACTTCTGACTGTTAGATCCTAGAGAGCTGACACCTATCTGCCTTACTCATCTTGGATTCCCCAGAGTTTGGCTTAGTGCCTGGCACACAGAAAGGGTTCAAAGTTGTTTAAACTGAATAAACGTGGTTAATGATTAGCAACTTAGCGCACTGGTTTAATTCTATTAGACCACATAACAAATTATTGAGATCTGTTCATAGATGAGTCTTCCCAACTACACGCCACGCTCCTGAAATGCAAAAACCTCGTTTTTTTCTCACCAATCCCAGTGGGAGTCTTGGCACAGAGAATTCGCTCTTGATAGCTCTCTTACTTATTGAAATTAGTTATAAATCAGTATTAGAAAGTAAAGTGTGAAGGTGAAACTATGAGAAATGTAAGGGATACAACAGGATTGGTTTGCTGGAAAGACAGAAGAAAACTAATGATAAAGCAGTGTTACAATTCCTGCTTCTGGAACACCAATTAAGCTTTCCTGAGCTCAGGTTGCCTTAGCAACTTTGGAGCGCGTCTGGCCAAGCCCCGCCCCATCTCCGCCCCCAAACCCGCCCCCAGCCTCGCCCCAAGTCCGTCTCGCTCTTCAGCTGCCTACCCTATACCCTTACTTCCGCCCCAACCTACCAGCTGGGACCTGGGGTCCTACTGTCTATGCCCACGATTATTCTGCCTGACTAAAAATATTGTAGCAAATAAGTAAAGTTAAAAATATATTTTATACACATAATCCATGCTTTTTTCTCAGCTATTTATACGCAAAAGCATAAGATATTTGTGATTTAATAGCGCGATGTAGCATGAAATCTTGGGGCCGATATTCAGGCAGTGCTTTGGATAGCAACAATTTCGGAGGTCCCCAGTTTGTCTAGGGAGACGTGGATGTGAGTGGCGCCGGGCAGTCCCCGGCACAGTGGAGGAAGTCGTGCTACCCCGCGGGGTTGGCTTGTGTTCTAGATTCATCCCGACACCACCATGTAAGTGTTTGCTTACCGACCGCCTTCATCCCTGGTCCTGTTGTCCAACCCTGACTCTCTTCCACTCTTTTCCTCAGGTCGAAGGTTTCTTTTAAGATCACGCTGACGTCGGATCCGCGGCTGCCGTACAAAGTGTGAGTAGCTCGGCAGGGATGGGCCTTTTGGGGCCGGACAAGACGGGGCTGGGGGTGATCCTAGCCTTTTCAACAACTACCCCATGCAGTCTTCATCTCTTCGTTTTCTCTGCCTTCCTGGCTCGCGCCCTTCCAGGAGCCTCTCCCGCTGGAGCCTGTGAGGAGAGGTCCGTACTTGCTCGCTAAGTGTCAGCTTGGCAGCCTGGCCCCGGCACGAGGGTGTGGGTGTGTTTCTTATTAGTGACCTCCCCTCGGAATTCATTTGGTGGTCAGGTGGAGCGGGGGGACAGGTGGGCCAGGTTCTGGTAATTTGCTTAAACAGACCCCATCTCCTGGAGATTAGAAAAACGTTTCACCGCTTTAAGCAGCTGTTTGAGGAAGTTAGGGAAAACATTCCATCCTGATAGTCAAACTTTGAAATTACTTGAATGTTTGTTATTCTGCGGTTTGTGAGTTTTGTGTGTATGAGTAACTCAATAATCGGGCATCACAAAGTAATGAGACTCAGATCACACCCTTCCTATGTTGAGATTTAATAGAGTATTTAGTAAGAATGGGAAAATGCATAAGTAGGGGATAGTTGATCCATGTGGGGCCTTTACTTATCCTTTGCAGTTGAATGATAGATTTTAAGTACACACTCTTGAGGTTATTGCAGTTGGAAGTAGCATGAAATGTGGAAAAGAACATAATTACAATAGGATTTTTTGCATAAATAATACACTTAGTACTGTGTCCTATGTAGCCGAAGTGATAAATTTCAGTGATTCGCCAACCCATGATCCCTACCTCTCAGCCTATTGCTCCCTTGATTATTTCATCTCCAAAATACCCTTTTTACACTTTATCTCAGGTGTTCATGGTTGCAGCCTAGAATCTTAAGATTCCAGATTCCGTCTCTAAATGTTCCGTCTCTAAAATGTCGTTTACAGGCACTGTTATGGATAACTACAGTCTCTCCTACCTGATTTACTGTAATTTCTCTTCTACAGCGTTTCATTTAGTCCGTTAATCACAGTGATTTTTAATCTATAGCTATTCCCACTCGTATTCCTTACCTTGCTCCTTAAGAGTCCATTAGTTTATCTTTAAATCATTCTCATGCAAGCATCCTCAACTCTGGTGGCCCTGTCCCTCCTCCCAGCATATTTTGGTTAGTGAAACACTAACTCTGTAAACCAGCTATTTGTGTTCCCTGTACATAGCTGAATGTCCCTGGAGAAAATAACAGACTGGTGGGTTTTACATTAAATTCATGACTATAACAATAGTGACTAGCACTTTACTACATTCTTCAGGTTTGCTCATTTTCCTTCTTATTCTCAGAAAGATTTGTTTAAAAATTTCAAACTCTCCCCGTCCTCCCTTTCTCTTGCTCTCAAGCCATTAGAGGGAAATTCTGTCATCTTTCCACCAATATAAACCTACTACTACATCGATAAATCCATTAATTTCAGTCTCCCATCCTGTTAGAATGGGAAAAATGACTTCACTCCTATGAAAAAACACTTGAGCTCTGGTTCCCATCTATTTCAGTCAAGATTAAAGTAGATGGAGTCCAGTGGCCCCCTCTCTCCTCATTATTGGTTTCTCCCTCTATACTGAATTATTCTCATCAGTATGCAAGTGTACTCTAGAAAGAGATCGTGAGAAGGAAAGAGGATGGAGCAGGACAGTATCATTAAGAGCCTGGAACATTAATTCAGTTAATATGTGGTGACTGAATGAATTTAGTAGGTACAACTGTTGTTGAGTGTGTATGAATGAGTGTGTGTAGTTGTATATGTATATAAGAATGTGTGTGTGTGTAAAATACACATAACATGTAAATGTTTGTACAAGCGTATCTGTGCTATATTTTCTTTTCAACGTAAATGGTAACTGGTACTTGGGCACTAACAGAAGCAACTCAGATTTGTGGGAAAACATATTTTAGCTTTTTAATAGCACTTTTTGCCTGTCAAGCAGGTAAACATACTTGGATAGAGAAACTTCCCCCAAGTTAAGCAGCACCTAATAGTAGAATTCTAGAAAAGCCAGTTTTTACTTTTGGTTTTGATTTTTGTTTGTTAACAGAAGCACTATTGGTATTGACATTAGGTTGCAGAATTTTTATTGAAATTAAACATTCTTCTATACATGGGATGAATTAAAAACACAGCTTTTGCTTTTTCAGTCTATTTCAAATCTTTCCTGTCTTATTTGGCACATTTTCTTCTCTTCCAGTCCTTAGTACCACAATCATATACATAAAGCTTCAGCCTCCCCATTCTCAAATTGACAAGCTAGCTCTTTTAATCTTTCCTTTACACTTGTTCTTTTCTGTGCTTAGAATGCAGTCTCATGACCACAACATATTTTATAATAAAAATCTCACCTCTATGAAGATCTTTGTAATTGTCCACAGAGTTAATCTCACCCTCTTTAGCTACCTGTGGACTTAGTCTGTAAGATAATTTCTTGTCAATTTATGTTACTATTTTGTTTATATGAGATATTAAAAGAACAAATGATGCCAGTAATTTAAAAATTCTCATTAATGTAAATTTATTCAAAACTATGATAATTTAAGTACCAATTTTATGAAATGACTGGTAAATACAACTATATTTATTTATTTATTTTCCCACCTCAGACTTCTGAATAGCTGGGACCACAGTTGTGCACCACTAGACCTGGCTAATATTTTTGTTTTTTGTTTTTTATAGAGACGGGGTCTCCCTATGTTGCCCAGGCCTGTCTTGAACTCATGGGCTCAAGTGATCCTCCTGTCTCAGCCTCTCAAAGTTCTGGGATTACAGGTGTGAATCACTGGGCCCACCTAGAAACTACTTTTTTTTTTTTTTTTTNTTTTTTTAAATACTTTAAGTTCTGGGGTACTTGTGCAGAATGTGCAAGTTTGTTACATAGGTATACATGTGCCATGGTGGTTTGCTGCACCCATCAACCCATCATGTACATTAGGTATTTCTCCTAATGCTATCCCTCCCCTAGGTCCCCACCCACGGCAAGCCCCAGGGTGTGATGTCCCCTCCCTGTGTCCATGTGTTTTCATTGTTCAACTCCTGCTTATGAATGAGAACATTCAGTGTTTGATTTTCTGTTCTTGTGTTCATTTGCTGAGAATGATGGTTTAAAGCTTCATTCATGTCCCTGCAAAGAATATGAACTCATCCCTTTTTTATGGCTGCATAGTATTCCCTGGTGTCTATGTGCCACATTTTCTTTATCCAGTCTGTCATTGATTGGCATAGCAAATAGAACTTTAGAGAAGATCTGTGGAGTCACTGTAACTCTCATTTTCTCTAATTTTCTGCCAATTAGAACTTGCATTAAAAGATGGTTTCATTTGTTATTTATTCCATTGGCTTTTCTGTGGATACTCACCAACTTAATATACAGATAGAAACTTATTTTAATGAGCATCAATATGACATCTAGTTATATTGTAGGGATATTTCCAAGTCTCCAGTTTAAAAATGAATGGATTTCTAAGAGTTTAGATGTTCTCTGATTGATGTAGATAGAGTTCTAGGAAAATGAATCTCAGATTCTAAACTACATATATACTGCAGAAATACTTTGTGAACTTTGTAAATTAATTTACAAGGTTTGTAAACTGTCACATTGTCTGCTTTGTAAACTGTCACATTGCCAGTCCATTAGTTTTTAAACAAATGGCTATCCTTTAGGATATTTTTATTTTCTGCATCTCCAAAAAACATTAGTAAAGAAAGGGTAAAAATGATACCCATTTTCATGCTTTAATAGTATTTTGGAATTGTGGAATGAGGGCAGCCAAGAAATCTATTCACATTTCTGTTACTGAAAACTGCTGCCATATGCCGTTCCTGATATAATGATTGTTACATTCATAGATCTGTAGACTGAGTGAGGAGCCTGGGCATACACTTAAGAATAATGGTAGCTAGTATTAAGACACTTAAGAATAATCCAATATACTATGGTGACAAATAGAGACGTTTCAGTGAGAAATGGTAGCTTGTCAGTCTCCTCTGCTTTGAAAGATTGTTTTCTGTTTTTACTGATTGTAATTTATTTTACCTTAGGAATCATTATTTTTTAAAAAATTAAAAACCTCTTACTGTGTCTTTAAGTATTTTCTTAAGGTAAAAAGTAAGTTTCTTGATTTTTTTTAATTGGAAAATTAATACAGATTGACCCTGGAACTAAGTCATTAAGAAAAAAAAAAAAAAATCTATGTATTGGTGATCTTTAAAATACTTGCCATTATATGAGTCAGTTAACAAAGTCAAACATCCCTCTTCAAATGTTATTTGATTTTACTTAGCCCATTTTAAATGATGGTGGAAAAATCAATTTATTATTGGCTTTGCCATAATAAACTTCATGTATTTTTATCAATTTGGTCTATGAATTTTGGACATGATTATTAAGAGTACACAGAAGGTTCATCAAAAGCTTTATGATTCAGTGATGCTTCCCAAGTAGCCTTCTACTTGTAATGAAAATGATAATATTACTGCATCAAGTGCCTAGGTATTTAGATGGGAGGTAAAGTGGACTGAAGACCAAGGAGAGCTTCCCCTCTTTGAAATCCATCTTTAGAAACAAACAACAGTCCATATGCTAGACTTAGGTATATCAAAGTGTTAGAAAATATATATGTCTACACCTGTAGAGGTTAATTCTCAAGTGGAGCTCGGTCATCATCCTAGCTCTAAGGCTATTTGCTGTAGGAGTTTTTAAAGTTATCATTATTTTGAGTTAAATAATGTAGTATGCAATCAAAAGCACTAACTTTGAAACTGAAAAGACAGCTTTGTCCAGATTGGCTGCAGTCACGGAAATAAGGAACAAAAGGGCTTTTTAAGAAAATGTTGACTTTTAAAAGAAGCCGTTTTAAAATTTTTCTTGCAGACTCAGTGTTCCTGAAAGTACACCTTTCACAGCAGTCTTAAAGTTTGCAGCAGAAGAAGTAAGTACAGAAGTTGGGACAAGCTTTATGGAATGCAGTTTGCCAATATGTTTCAAACATCTTTAAGATTTGCCTGCATGCTGACTCATCATTTCCATGTGCTTCATTGCTAGGTTAATGTGATCAAAAAGTTGTAAGTAGGATGATAGTTAAGACCTACTTTCAGATATAAGAATCATGAGTTAAACAAATTGTCATATCTTATTAATTAAACCATTGAAAATTATAAGGAGAATTTTTACGAAAATTAAAAAGGTACTGATTTGTAAATGTTGTTTAAAATGCAACATCATATCACCTTATATTCTATGTACTTATATTTTACTAGTTTTGATTCCAGAAATACAATTTTGTAAAATCTTTACCAGTTTTCAAATTTTCTATATGAATATGTGGAATGTCAGTAAAATTTGTTGTTTTGAAGTGTCTAGTTTTTAAAACATGCTTCAGTTTTCTGTTTTATAAGAATTTTTTTTTTTCAAAATTATTAGAAGCATCTATAATGTAACTTTTTAGACATGACACTTGGAAAAGTAGCTTGATCTGGTAGAAATGGCACCCAAATGTGACTTGAGAGACTTAGGGTTCCTGTTTTGGATTGTCATTAGTAAGTTGTATGACATGATGCAAATCCCTCTTTTTCAGTAAATTGAAAGTAGTTAATGCCTGTCCTTCTCTCAGATCAAGTGATTTTGAGAAAAAACATTATTTACTGAAATTTGGTGAAGCTAAACGTGCTAAACCAGTACATTGTAACTCAAATCAAAATGTTTTGGTTCAGAATATTTAGAAACGTTTATAGTCACAGAAAAATAGTTTTCATAACTACATTAATAAGGAAATAGCTTCATACAGAATCCTGCCCTATACTTAAGGAATTTATGGGAAGTCCGCCAATTCGTCAGTGCTCAGATGTCCTGGTATTGTCAGGAATTACTGACATCATTTGTCATTCATTCGGAATTAAACTGCCAACTAGTAGCATTTGTTTTGTGTTATTGATGATATATTCTTTATGCCAAAGGAGTAAGAAAAATGTGATGGTACACAAATCTGAATATAGCATTGTCATTATTTTTTGCTGCACAGATTACTTACAAGAAATATTCCTAGTCTGGAGCATAACAGAATCTACAAATTCCAGATTTAAGAAGTAGATCTATACAAGCTTTCATTAATATTTGTTATATTTTGTAGATACTTTATTATGTGTCCTTTATAATGCAAAGGCATTTTTGTGATCTTGGTTTTCTAATAAAAGTAGAAGAAAATCTTAACATACAGTAGTGAATAAACTAAGAAACACCACACAACCATATATATTGATTAATGTAGCTTATAAGTAAAGCTTACAGTAAAGCAAGCTACAGAAAAGAAAATCCTAGGTGAAAGTATATTTACTATTCATTAGGTGTAAGTGGATCACTATTATAAATTATAGGTGTTACATATTTAGCAAGGATATGACTTACAGGTCATTGTGAGAGGGGCTTTCACGAGATGACATTGTAGAATCATTCATTGAGAACAAAAGTTGACTCAAGAAAGCAAGAGTCTGGATTTAAATCTCTGTTAAAATTGTCTTAGTAAGCAATAATAAAATTTCCCAGCACATGATTGGGGTAAGTAATGAGTTGTTGAAATCTTCAAAGAGCCCTTTACAGCCTAAATGATAAGAATTACAGGGGATCTGAGGAGGAAAATAAATGAAAACAGGAGTGCATAAAAGGATACTTTGCATTCAGTAGAAAACCTGTCAGTATTGTAGGACAAAAAAGGAGTATATACTACATTTGACATCACTAGTGATGGCTCTTCCTATTTTAGTTTAACCATTTCTTCCACATTCTGCCTAAGGGAAAAACTGTCAGCAACTGCTTTTGGTTTTAAAAGTTATAGGTTGCTACTACATGGGTGTGACTAAGAAAATACATAGCGTATCTTAAAGTGGGTATGATGTAAAAGTAAGACTCAATCACTAGGGTAACTAAAAACTTTGTAGGACTCTAGCTTTGGAAATCTGAGAGCACTATAATTATTTTGAGTGTTTGATCAAATTCTTTTTGAGATTATGGCCTGTGCAAAATATTTATGATGCATTTTTAAGTTTACTCAAGTACATTTGAAATTCTTTAAAAATTTTTAAATCTTTAAAAGGACACAATTATAAGAGTATACCACATTGAGATTAAAATATATTTATTATTATTATTTTTTTTTTTTTGGTGACGGAGTCTCGCTCTGTTGCCAGGCTGGAGTGCAGTGGTGCAATCTCAGCTCTCTGTAATCTCCGCCTCCCAGGTTCAAGCAATTCTGCCTCAGGCTACTGAGTTACTGGACTACAGGTGCGCGCCATCATGCCCAGCTGATTTTTGTATTTTTAGAAGAGACGGGGTTTCAATATGTTGGCCATGATGATCCTGATCTCTTGACCTCATGATCTGCCTGCCTCAAGCCTCCCAAAGTGCTAAAATGTGTTTATTATTAATATGTACAGAATACTATAACAAATAATTGTTCTCAGGCATTTTTAAGGCCTTATTTTAAAAGCTGATTCTTCAATTTATAATTTAAAATAAGCTTTTAGTTTTTCCCAACTGTGTATATGTGATGATTATAAATGCCTAAAGTAGAGTTTCCCAGGCAAGTAGAACCATACACAAAATAGTACCACCAAAAAAAAAAGTCATGAAGAACAGGGATTACTGGTCAGAAAGTATGAGAAACACTTCATTTCTGTTAGCAATATATGAAAGGCTCTTGAGAAGACTCCAAACTTGTGTTTTCCAAACTTACTTGATCACAAAACTCAACTATAATATCTATAAAGTTAATCCATAACACAAACATACTTAATAAGTATTTGTTGGACCAGTGAATAAACTATGAAGACATAAACACACTTTGACAATTGCTGGTCTCTTTAAGAGATGGAATCTACCTTTTAGCTGCCAATAAATTCCATACCACATTTCATTGATTTAAAAAACATGTCGTTTTAAACATCTCTGAAATAGATCAGGGGAAGCTTGCTATCACTGTTGGCCAAATGGCATTCACATAATTGTCTAGGTAACATCATCTACAGTTAACTATTATTTCCTAATGACATAATTGGACTGTTGCAATCCTGTGAGCTTTAAATCAACAGATCATTTAAGGAGAATGTAAGGAATACAAGCTTTGGTTGTTACCTGAAAATCTTCTGTAGGCAGCACCCATTAAACAGAGCATCTGTTCAGATCTTGCAATTTCTATGGAGAAATTTTAGGAATAATCTCATCAGTCTATTTTGCATATACTTTTTTGCTATTCAAGAGAATTATAAATGACAAAACTGATGGGTAAGTCCTAAAGAGTATAAACATTGATCTGGGCATAAATAGACAGTGATTTTTCATTTTTGTAATACATAAAATAAGGTAAACTTTTACACTTAATGGTGTATGAAATACCATAGAAAGCATTGATTATAGTACAGGGTTTCTTTATTTCTTTTTTACAGATAAAGGAAATTATTTAGTCCAGTTGACCCTTGAATAACATGGGGGTTAGGGGTTCTAACCCCCTGTGCAGTTGAAAATCTGCATACAACTTTTTGATTTCTCAAAAACTTTAGCCTACTGTTGACTGGAGGCCTTACTGATAAACAGGCAATTAATATATATTTTGTTATGTGTATTATATACCGTATTCTTAGAATAAAGTAAGCTACAGAAAAGAAATATTAAGAAAATCATAAGAGAATGTATATTTACTATTCATTAAGTGGAAGTGGACCATCCAAAAGGTCTTCTTAATCCTTGTCTCATGTTGAATAGACTGAGGAGAAGGGAGAGGAATGGTTGGTCTTGCTTTCTCAGGAGTAGCAGAAGCAGAAGAAAATCTGCACATGTCATTCAAGGGTCAACTGTACTTTCCTCAATGGTTTCACTTATTCTAAAAGATTAATCATATTTTAGAATTATAAAAATGGTATTTGTATCCCATTCTTGCTAATTATCTGTTGTAGTTTTATATATGTATACCTATATATATTGTTTTTTTCCTTCCATTTAGTTTAAAGTTCCTGCTGCAACAAGTGCAATTATTACCAATGGTAAGAATTCATTTTAAAATTATGTGTTACCTGAAATTAATCAAAATGGTTTAAAAGGAACCAAGTTAATAAAAATTAAATACAAAAAGCCCCAAATATATGTATATCAACATAAATGTTATACTTATTGGTAAACACTAAGTCAGGGTTATTGTTCATAATTAACTCCTTTCATTTCCTTGTGCTTGTGGTATAGTATAGCACTTTATAGTATAGCACTCTTTTGTCCTTACCAGTTCATGCCAGATTATAACTGAAAATGACTTTTTCTTTTAAATTTAGCAAGTTTTTTTTTCATTAAGTAAAGTTGTTTAGTAAATGCTTTAGAATATAGAAAGTTAAGCAGGGATATACCTTTGTTAATATCTTCCTGATAAAAAATGGTTTCTTACAGGCTTACAATAATGAGAATTTTATTCACTTTTAGGTATATAATTAAAAATCTTAATATCTTGGAACACTGATAATCGATGATGAAATTAGTCTTAATCATTAGTGAAATAAAATGAGGAATAAAGATTGCAGGGAGAGTTTAACTGTGTTTTAGGTATACAATGTGGTATTGATGCGTGCTAATGAGTTGCCCACGTGCAGTTTGGATAGACTAACAGGAGATGGGCTTACTGTGCATGATGTAACTTAGATAAGACAGAATTTCTCACTCTAAAATATTCTGCATTCTGCCACATTGACGTTTTTCTCTTTAGGAAAAAGCTGGCTTACTTTCTGGAAAGTTTTATGTTCATAACTTAGTAACGTGCATTGAAATAAATGCCTCTGTGAGCTCTCCCAGCCTTAAGATAGACCCAGAGCAATACGAAGATGATTCATGGCATACCTAAGTGCTTTTCGTTTTTTGGAAGAAATGACAAACATTATTTTTAATTCTATGTGGCAAAATAGAATGAATAACCTATATTCCATAGAACTTACCAAGATCATTGCATTGACAGACGTTTTTGTCTAACCCGTCAATGCGTATGAATGCAGAATAGTAGGTTTCAACAGATAATTTACCTGAAAGATTGTCACTCGTGTTCTTGGATTTAAGTTGTCTGGCTTGTGCCTGTATACACAGCAGCACTATTTTGGCAAATCTCTTCTTGCTACTGTTAAACCATTTTAGCTTTAGAAATAATGTATGTGATTTTACAACTTATTTTCTAGATGGAATAGGAATAAATCCTGCACAGACTGCTGGTGAGTATCTATTTGAAAACTCATGGAGGAGTGGGTGGGGTTATACATGTCAATTGACACTGAATGTTTAAGTTATTCTAATTATACTTGACAGTATTTTAATATAACGGAGCTATTTGGTAGGGATTATATACCAGTCTTTACCTGTGTGTTTAAGTAATAGGTTGTTTCATTATGTATATCGATTATAGATGTTTTTGGCTACAAGTAACAGAAAACCTAATAGTGGCTTAAGCATTAAGGGGATTTATTATATATAACAAAATGTCTGTAGATAAGATTGCTTTCTCATTGGAATAAGGATTTTTGACCTACCTCTTAAGGTAGTTGTGAGACAGTGAATGTAAACTGCTTAATAACTCGGATTATTTATAGAAAGCATTCATTAAGTGCTATTCTTTTTTTAATATAGTCATTTACATTTCCAGAGGCTGAGTCTAGACTCAGATCTTCAAACCATTAAGTTTATACAGGTGATATATTGGTGTCCTAACCAGGTGGCAGGGTGAAAGTAGTCTCATACTTTATCGAAAGTAGTCTAAAACTTTTTAAAACATAGTTTTATATTTTTTAAATGTAATCTCTTGGGCTAATAATCTAAAGTTTTTAAATTAGACATGCTTCAATGTAACCTTATTCTAGAGCAGTAGTTATTTTTAAATTTTATTCTAATTTTTTTATTGTAACAAAATTATGTTGTTTTCATAGGCCTTGTGGTTGAACTTCAGCTATAGAGAAAGTGTAGAGTGATTTTGAAATTGCAAATTTTTGTTACTTCAGTAGTTTTTAATGTAGACTTCTATTAAATTAAAAGGTTTATTGAAAATCATGAGGCACTTTATTGTATGTATGCCAGTGAACTTATTAGACAGAGGTTTCTTTTTTTCTTATTTGAGAAACTTTCAGCAGTTTACAGTGGTTTTAATTACTGCTAACTCAAACAGATTGCTTGTTATATTACCTTTAAAAACTGAATGAGCATATCATTGGATATGAAGAAAATCTCAGCAGGCAACTGACCCCAAATATGTCAGGGTATCTAAATTTTTGTCACTTGTAGTAATTTACATTTTTTCTGTCCTTAGATATATTATTATGTATTGAAGAAAATATTCATGATGAAATTTATTCACATTGTTACTTGCTGAAAGTATTTGTCAGCCTTTTTATGGCTGATGTTACTTTAAATTTTAAGCATTTGTTGGATTGTAAAGATGAGAATAGGAACAAGATTTAAAAAGCATGGAATTGGGGTTTAATGATGCTTGAGCTTTTGTCCCTATTTTACTGTTTACTAAATCATTTATTATATGTAAGAATTGTCAGAATATTAAGCTAGCTTGATTTTTAGAAACCTAACTTTATGTTTTGTCTGTTTGTATAGGAAATGTTTTTCTAAAACATGGTTCAGAACTGCGGATTATTCCTAGAGATCGTGTTGGAAGTTGTTAATATCTGCTATTTGGAACATACGATTGCCTTTCAGAATAAATATTGGTATTTTTTGTTGTTGTAAAATTGAAATCAGACATTTAACATACTATGAAAACACAAGAGTCAATGAGTATTGAAAGATGACTCATCTGTCCCTTTTTGTTGTCCATACTCTTCATGTGAAGAGGGAATGCGTATGAATTAAGGGTACTACTGTCACAGAAGATCATACAGTCTTTGATTGCTACCTCACAACACAAACAGGTAGTTTGTTGGGGGTAAATGAATCAGCTAACTGTGTTAACTGGAAGCTTCTGATAATTTTTTAGAGAACAATTTGGAACATTAAAATTTACCGAATCTTATATATTCATTTGAGTTAAAAAGATAAAAAGACCAGCACTTTGGGAGGCTGAGGCGGGTGGATCACGAGGTCAAGAGGTCGAGACCATCCTGGTCAACATAGTGAAACCCCGTCTCTACTAAAAATACAAAAAAATCAGCTGGGCATGGTGGCGCATGCCTGTAATCCCAGCTACTCAGGAGGCTGAGGCAGGAGAATTGCCTGAACCCAGGAGGCGGAGGTTGTGGTGAGCTGAGATCGTGCCATTGCACTCCAGCCTGGGCAACAAGAGCGAAACTCCGTCTCAAAAAAAAGATAAAAAGAATTTTGGATTGGGGCCGGGCGCGGTGGATCATGCCTATAATCCCAGCATTTTGGGAGGCCGAGGTGGGTGGATCACTAGGTCAAGAGATCAAGACCATCCTGGTCAACGTGGTGAAACCCCATCTCTACTAAAAATACAAAAATTAGCTGGGCATGGCGGCACAGCCTGTAGTCCCAGCTACTCGGGAGGCTGGGGTAGAAGAATTGCTTGAACCCAGGAGGCGGAGGTTGCGGTGAGCCGAGATCGCGCCATTGCACTCCAGCCTGGGTAATAAGAGCGAAACTCCGTCTCAAAAAAAAAAAAAGAATTTTGGATCATGGATGGCAATTTGCTTGATAGAATCTGATTCGTAGACTCAGTTTAATTTTTAATTAAATCTGTAGGTTATGATAAAGTCAGTAGTCATATCAGTGAACAGTTAACTATATTAAATTTTTATCATTTCCTTTTTTTAAGATTCAAACCTCATGTACTATATAAATTACGGTTTAATATCAACCAAAAAATTAAAATTTTGATCTAACCGTTATGTGTATAAATTGATGTCCCATACCAGGTTTTAATGGTGGACTTGAGGGATCCAGTACTAGTAATGGTGGGAATTCACAATACAGTAGAAGCATCCTTTGCTGAGTTTTACATTCCTTTATCAATCTCTTGATATAACTTTTAAAACAAGTGTCTTCAAGAAACCATTGGTGTTTTGAGGGTAATATTTCTAAATAACAGGAAGAGAGTATTATTGCACAGAAGATCTGAAGATCAAAAAAAAAAAAAAAGCTCAAGGAAATGTAGATCAGAAGTGCTGATGAGATCTATTTATTGAAGACGCAACTTTTAAGGCGGTGCTAAGATTAGTCACCTATGTGAATAAGAAGCCAGGAAAGGAAAGATGGGGAAGCCCAGATCACCAGACTTCTGTTAAGTGGCAAAGCAACAGAGGAAAACAGTGAAGGGGAACAGAAAGGTGTAGCAGAGTTTTACAGAAAAGCCTACTGGACAGACAAAACTGCAGAAGGTATATGTTGGGGAGAAACTGAAAGGGAAAATAGTCTTAAGTAGTAGAAGGCAGTTAGAGAAAAAGTATCTACTGGCCTTGTCAACATACAGATTTCAGAATACCCCTTATGAGAATCCAAAGAATGATGTGTGTATGGGAAGGTTTTATTTGCCCTTCCAGAAGAAATCAGTATCTATGCAAACCTTGAAAGATGATATTAAAGCTTGTAATGATTCAGAATCAGTGCTTGACCTGCTGTATTCTGAATGGTGAACTCTGGAAGCAGGGATTGTGTTTGGCTCTTTAGAGCTAGAAATGTTGTGGCTTTCATTAAATAGCTCCTGTAAAGTCTCTCTAAGACCAGTTATTATCTTGGCATGTTTCAGTATCTTCTCTAGGCCCTAGGTTCATTGGGGGAAAACAAAATAGAAAAAAATTGATCAGTTTCAGCATTTGAAGTGTGCCATTGGTAGTTTATGAAATTACCAGATATTTGTAAATGTGACAAACAGCAGGATTATGAATTATCAAAGTAAAAACAAATTGCTGAGGTGAAAAAAATCTGATGTTTGAGGAAGTTTTTATTTTTATAAACAAAATCTGATGTTCAAAGGCCCTTGCTTCTTACAATAAATAATGAGCCTCAGTTAACCAGAAATTTATGAACATTCATTTCCTGACTTTATGATTTAATTTAGATTTTTCTTCACTCTTTCTAGCACAAAAGTTTGCCTGCTGTGTTGCAGAAATAAATTTATGTTGTCCTGTGCCATAAAGTTATATATTTAATATTTTTATTCTTTGGTTTTGAAAATTATATTGTAAGTTCTGGAAAACATTTTATTAAACAACTAAACATTTTGTTATTAAATGTGATCTGTAATTCTTTGTGCAGAATGTGATTTGAAGTATTCAGTTGACATGCATTATTGGTTCATAATTAATATCTAATGAAAATACATTTTGTTATATTTTAAACCATATTGACTACTCTTATTATTAGAGCTCTTAATCAGCACACCTGTTGAGTCAGTGTATAACACACGTAGTAAAGAAACAAAAAACGGCAAAGATGATTAATGACCCTAAGTCATAGAAGTGAGTTTATAGTCATCTGCCACATAATGATGTTTCGTCTAACAACAGACTGCGTATGACTGTGGTCCAATATTATAATACTGTTTTTTACTGTACCTTATCTATGTTTAGATACACAAGTACTTTTACCATCATTTTACAATTGCTTACAGTCTTTGGTACAGTAATACGCTCAATAGGCTGTACCATATAGCCTAAGTTTGTAGTAGGTGACATCATCTAGGTTTGCATATGTACGTTGTGATGTTCACATAGTGAAAAACTTGTCCAAGGAAGCATTTCTCAGAATCTATCCCTTTGATTAAGTGATACATCACAGCACTTCCAAATGCCTGTCCATTTTACAGATGGAAAAAAAAAAAAAATTGAGAAGAGAATGGGATTATTGTAACTGGTTAGATTGGTAGGTTCCAAACCTGGGTGATAGGAGAGTCACCTAGGAAATTAAAAATACAGATTTTTGGAAACCACTCATTGAATTCTTATTTATTAAGTCTGGAATAATACACAAGAGCTTTTGTAAAAAGGAGTCCTGGTGATTCCTCCCATGCACATGGTTTGAGAATTAATGAGAAGGCTACCTTTTGACTTTGTAGAAGAGAATGGGGTCTAAAGGGTCAAAGTAACTAGAATATGTTCTGGAGTCTTAGTGCACTTTCAAATGCTTGGTAAGTAGCCTCAGTGTAAAGGTGCTAGCTAACAGTCTGACTCACTGCACAACCTTTAAAGTTTTCAAGTCAAACATTTTTTAATGTTTTTCTTAGAATTAGCTGTTAAAAAGGAAAGTGAGTGGGAAGAAAATAATCCTATTTAATTCCTCCACTCCAATATTAAGATATTAAAACTATCTACCATGTTTTTTACCCAAAGACCTTGAAATCTTCATGAATTGGAAGCATTTATATACTTTAATGGAGTGATTCTAAGTTAACTGATAGTGTTCCTGAGGCCATTTATGAAACCACACCAAAAATAATGATTTATCCAAAAGAAATCTATTGAACATCTATGTGTCAATTATTTTGACAAATAATTTCACTTTTATCATCTCATTCTTTAAAACAATTCTAGGTTATTTTCCCCATTTTATAGAAGAAGAAAGAGGCTTAAGCTGAGATTTGAAATTTGAACCCATGATTTGACTCAAACTCTGCACATTATACGGGGAGAATTTTTTAGTATATGTTTTCTGTGCTATGCTAGATGGTGTATTGAATCACAAAAATAAGAATATGTAAGGCTTAAATTCCATTTCAGAGTACTATGTGTGTCATGATAATGTATGGCACCCCTTTTTAATGCATGGTGTATATGTGATATAAATATGATAAATTCTAGGATATTATAAGCCAACCAGTAGTGGGAGTAGGGACTGTGCCCCCAAATTCATTAGCCCTATCAGATGTGTCTTACAAGTACAGTTGCAAGATTCCTCTTCTAAAAACCTCTTCCTACTAGATTGCTGCCCATAAACTTCTTTAATACAGAAATTTTGGAACTGCCTTCTATTGATTAGTGCTGGAGATGGGTAAATCATTATTCAAACTAGGCTATTAAACCATTAATTGAAATAAATATTCTTGAAAGCTTCAATTTAGCCAATCTATTAACCATATCCTTCAAATTGACTAAGGCTCTCTTAACCATCAAATCTGTTACTCATCTGATTTTCCTTTCTCGGGGTATCAAACCCAATCACAAAATTCTCTTGATGCTATTAACAGAGTATCTCATAGTCATCCCCACTGTAACTAAAACCCTAATCTCATTTATACTATCATAAGAGCCTCTAGTCTCTCCATTTCCTCTTTCACACTGTTGCTTTAATGAGTTTCGTTTTTTTTTTTAATGTGATTACATCGCTTCATTAGTCAAAATCCTACTGAATAGAAAGTCTACACTGTTTATGACATACAAGGCCCTCATGAACTGGTCTGTGTTAGAGTCATCTGTTACTACTGCTCTCTTCCTTACAGTTTCCTTCCCCAATTTACACTGTCACTACCCTGAACTACAAATAATGTTGAGTTATCTCTGAGGTGCCATGTGCTTATGCTTTCATTTCTTTACTTACCCCATTTGTTTTCCCGGAAAACCTGGGACTCATTCTTTAACAAAGCCACTGAGCCTTTCCTCCCTCCTCCAAAGCAGTAGGTATTAACTGTCTCTGCAAGTATTACATTTTGTACATTCTTCCATTCTAGCAATTATTAAATACAGAATTTGTCTCTAAAAGATAAATTTTATAAAAGTCTAAGACCATGACTGAAACTGGGTTTCCAAATTGTTTTGTCCATAATACACAGGAAGTACTTTATAATTGAAAGTACTTCATAATTTGAAATATTCTTTCAAATATACATGAAAGAACATTTTGAAAATTGGAACTGTGTCTCACATAAAGTAACTGCTTTCATCAAAGTATTTGGTTAACCAGTTTACCCATGTTTCTGTTGCTTATAGTAGGAATTTATTCTCTCAAATGAACTACTTTTTTTAATTGCAAGACATTCTCTTATTTTTAAACAAACGTTATTAGCCATATGCTGCATATTGTTAAATCCTGGAGATGAAACGTGATTAACATCCATTCATTCCC